ATTTAAGATTACTGCACTTCCCAATTTTATAAAAAAAACATAAACAAATGTTAAACTCTAGTTAAAAATATGAGTGTTGTTTGTATGCATATATTCATAACTCATGGACACAGACAATGGGGTGGTGAAGGCCTGAGGCTGGGGGCGGTGGGGGGGGCGGTTAGGGTTAGGGTTAGAAGAGATCAATGGGGAAATAGGGGGACATATATAACACTTTCAGTAAAGATTTAAAATAAAATAAAAAAATGTTAAAAGAACAACTCCAACTGACATATAGGAAAAAAATATTATTGGGGGTAGTATACTCGTTCCATGTAATTATCCCTGTGCAAAAGAAAACATTTATCTAAGTTTGGGGATGGGTAAATCCAAGCACTATGTTAGGCATGTCATCATTATGGAACCTCTGGAGAAAATAAGTCACTGATGTAGTTTTCCAAAATGAAGTTCTGCCTGACAATGGTAGGGCTAACTCCATCCCTGCCTTATCAGGACGGGTGAGCTGGGCAGATCAGATTGGTAGAAAGAGAAGCTGGGAAAAGAACAGGATCCAGAACACCTGTGGCTCCTAGGAAAGCCTGTTTTAGAACTGGTGATCGAGAGAGAGAACAATGTAAGTAGCTTCCCTGCATGTCAAGTCTGTTGGCATTTTAACAAAGCGTAAAACTAAACTCTGCCCTACAGAGGTTGACAGTTCTATACCGATGAAATATTTACATGCCTGTCAACCCAACTGCTGGGGTGGAGTCCAAGGAAGCTATAAAACAGGCTGCCCCACAAATGTGGGTACCCATCTAACTTAAAAAAAGGTAGCGAGGGGCAGGGACAGAAGGTTGCCAATGCCAAACAAAAAACTAATAGTGAAATGGGACCATAGAGGGGGGGACTTCCAAGGAAGAAATTCCACTCCAATCATTTGGTTGTTCGCAAAAGGAAAATGTGGTGCCTTGTTTACACAGCTATGCAAGGAAGGCCACACTCTGGGACCTCATGGTGTGGGAGGGGGTAAGAGTGGAAAGTGAAGACAGCAGGGTGCTTGTGCCATATCAGATCTCCATCAGCATGCAACCCCAAAAGATCATGACTGTGAGAGCTTTGTAAATCAACTCTTAGGGTGCTTGCTCCAGGGCAAGTAGCACAACAAATTAATCCTGTCTCCCTGAAATGCAGCAAAGTTTGTATCCACGCTGAATTCAAATTGCTCATTAGCTCTGACATATTCCTAATGAGGTTATAATGCCCTGGGACAAAGATCAAGTCACTCAGCACAAATGCGAGGGGTAGAGTCATAGAAGGGTAAGGTTAGAAGGACCTGAGGGCAGTGCTTCTCAAACTTGAATATAAATCACCTGAGGGTCCTGACTCAGGAGGTCTGGGGCGGAGTCTTTGATTCCCTCTTCTAACAGAACCCCGGGAGGCTGGTGCACTTTGACAAGCAAGTCCCTAGAGACCATCTAATGCAGTCACCTTATCCTAGAGGTGGGGACTCCAGAGCCAAGAGACATACCTGAGACTTCCCTGGCGCTAACTCGGGTTAGTTGGGCATCTGTCCATAGACCTGTGGATCAACCTGAAAATTTGTAATATAATCATAGACAGTAGAGTGACCAACCACCCTGGTTTTCTCAAGACTGAAGGAGTTTCTAGCACATGAGACTTTCTATTTTTAAACCAGGAAAATTCCAGACAAACCAAGACAAGTTTTTCACCCTAGTAAAAGCCTTTTGAATCAGCTTGGAATAGTGTTTTGGGATTATTATTTTTTTGACCTTGTCGGTCCCTAAGTGCTGCTAAGGTAAGCACCTGAGTGTCCTGTCCTAAAGCTCTCCAAGAACAGATGCTCAGTAAGATTAGAGCCTTCTAACACCAGCGCTAAGTGCCTCTGTAAGAGACAGTGTCCCAATAGGTTTCAAAATAAGGCATAAAAAAGGAGTATAAAGAACACAGACAAGTAAGTGTCATAGAAACACATAATATTCTTTTTAACTATATGAATCCATTTTAATTTTCCGCATTTGAAAAAAATGCATCTAAGAAATAAATCGGGGGCGGGGGGAGGTGTTTCAACTGGGGGAAAAGGAGACATATGTAAAACTAGACAATAAAAAAATAAATAAATCATTAACTTATAAATATGACAACACTCATTAAGACACCTTTGGTAAAAATCACTAAAATAACAATAAAAACCAGGATGCATCTGTGAGAATGCATCTGCAAAATCAAAATGATTAAAAATTAAAATATATCCCTCCACATTGCTATTTTACTCACTGGAATTGGACCCATTAACATTACAGAGAATAATACACAGTCTGGACAGCAAAAGTAGAAAAATAATTTCAAATTAGTTGATGCTAGCAGTGTTTTACTAAGGCTTTTAAAACAGAATGTCAACATACTGATTCCATAGGCATTCAAAATGCAGACTGTGCAATACTGACCACAGTGACTCACTCTCTGGACTTTACTGGCTTAAAACAGATGCCAACATGCTCTAGCCGAATCACTTGACTTAGTATTCCTGCAGTTAAAACACTTAAAAGGAAGGAAGGAAAGAAGTGTAGCTAAATGTATACAATGTTTGAAACAGGTAAAAGATAGAACCCCAGACACTCAACAATCATTACCTGGAAATTAAAGAGCGCAGAAGCAATCCTATTATGCATTATAAAGATCCCAGCTGCTGACTTAATGGTAGTTTGACTAGCATAACCAAAGGGTCCTTGTTCCAATATTAATAGGAAATGTATTGTACGAATCCAATAGTTCATGAAATTAACAAGGAAAATGAACTGGAGTGAAACAACTTTGCAAGTAATAGGAAGGCATCAGCTATTGCTTCCCTGGAGCATATGAACATTTAAAAAGAGCTTGGGGAGAGTAAACATGTGTAAATGAGAATGGACATTATTGGAATTTTTATAATACTTTTTTAAAATATATATTTCTTTATTGATTTCAGAGAGGAAGGGAGGAGGAGAGAGAGATAGAAACATCAATGATGAGAGAGAATCATTGATCGGCTGCCTCCTGCACGCCCCCTACTAGGGCTCGAGCCCACAACCCAGGCATGTGCCCTTGGCCGGAATTGAACCTGGGACCCTTCAGTCCGCAGGCTGATGCTCTATCCACTGAGCCAAGCTGGCTAGGGCTATAATAATACTTTTAATTTAAGTATATTTCGCCCAGACAGTGTGGCTCAGTAATTGAGTATTGACCCATGAACCAGGAGGTCACAGTTCAATTCCCAGTCAGGGCACATGCCCAGGTTGTGGGTTGTGGGTTGTGGGTCATAGGTGACGTATAGAAGGCAACCAATGGATGTTTCTCTCTCATCATTTTTGTTTCTATCTTTTTCTCCCTCTCCTTTCCCCTTTGAAATCAATAAAAATATATTAATTTAAATACATGTCAAATTTTCTGTTGGTTGCAAATCTTTTCAAGAAGAAGCTATTAGCTCAAAATGTCAATAAGAGGTCATGGACTATGAGTTCTGGTCCAGTGATATTGAAAGTTAGCTGCCATTTGAATCAGTCTAAAACTACCATAATCATAAACGTATGATTTGACAGCTGTCAAAATTATTCACCATCACTTATGTAGAACTAAATACTTAAAATAGAATCTAGGAAACAATTTCCCTTTTATAAACCTCAACATCACTTCTCGGCCTTTTGGCTAAGATCAAGTGTATAAATCTTAACAGCCTGAATGATACATGCATGCTCATTGCTAAACTAAAAAGTAAAGTTAATTCAACTTACAATCCAATAGACATACGATGAAAGAAAACACCTTCCCCACAGACACTGCCAGGGACAATCTGACTGAATCTGGCACTGACCAAACAAGAATCTGAGAGGGTTTCCATGGAAGCAAGAATGTGACTTCCATTTTTCCCAGACAGAGACCCATCCAAGTCTTCCAAAATTGCTGCATGAGGAAATGGAAATGCTACTACACTGGGAGAGTTTGTAAACTTTAACTGGTTGGTCTTCACAGTAAATCCACCTGTAAAATGGAAGATAAGAGTGTTACATACGGCACAGAAGGTTATTATAACAAATGGCAGCTGAATTTGCTGGGATATATTCAGTACTTTAAATTGCGTATTTATACAGTTTTGTTCAAGAAAAAAAATCATGAGTGCTTAGTGTATGCCAGGCTCTGTGATATGTACTAGAGACACAGTGGAAAACAAGAGCAATATGATACTGCCTTCATATAGTCTGTATTTTAGGGCAGTGATTCTCAACCAGGGGTCATTTTGCCCTCCAGGGGACATCGGGCCCTATTTGGAATCATTTGGGGCTGTCACAATTACGTGGATGGCAGTGATATTGACATCTGGTGGGTAGAGGGAGGGATGCTGATTAACTTCCTCAATGCACAAGATAGTCCCCACAACAAAAAACTATCCAGCCCAAAATACTAATAGTGCCAAGGGTGAGAAACCGTTCTAGTGAGAAATAGAGACACGGAACACTAACTTACTAATTACTAACTACTAAAGGTATCTTGGTTTAGTCTTTCCATCTGTCTGCTCCAGTTCGTCTGTGGTGAGTTTAACCCCATCTCTTCTGAGGGTTATATTTGAAAGATTTACCCTCAAAAGCAACTTTCAATCATGTGGACAAAGAGTAATAGTAACACACTTTTTAAGAATTAGCTCTACCAGTGGTTCTCAACCTTCCTAATGCCGTGACCCTTTAATACAGTTCCTCATGTTGTGGTGACCCCCAATTTCATTGTTTCAAATTGAACATAATTAAAGCATAGTGACTAATCACAAAAACAATATGTAATTATATATGTGTTTTCCGATGGTCTTAAGCGACCCCTGTGAAAGGGTCGTACAACCACTGCTAGAACCACTGCTCTAGAGCTATACTTCTCAGCAGTCTGTTTCTCACACCATCTCCATGTGATTTGCCAGAACTGACACTAGTCCGGTTGCCCAGGAAGGAACTATGGCAGTGGTCTTCTAAATCACACAGCCCTGTCATTGAAATCTTTAAATTAAGCACATATCTCTCTGTACATATGTGACTATACGTCTTCATTATGTACATTGTGAAATAGACAAAAAGAAAAAGAAAAAAGAATAAGATACAGAGAAATAGAAGCTCTGATAATTTCACTCGGCATCCCAGTGGAGTCCAAGCAGTGAATTAAGTCCCGCATTCAAGACTCTATGATTAACTTCTGGCAACTTCTAAAGTTCATCTCATACCACAACCACCTGACACTACAATTCAGTCCTATTGGGATTTTAATTTTTTGCATATGCTATTCTTAATACTTAGAAACTCTTCTCGGCACCGTCTCGCTTGCAAATATCCATTCACGTTTCAAAACCCTGCTTAAGAATCATCTCTATGGCCCTGGCCGGTGTGGTTCAGTTGGCTGAGCATTATCCCATGCCTCAAAATGCCATTGATTCAATTCCCAGCCAGGGCACAAGCACAGGTTACTGGCTTGATTCCTGGTAGGGGTGTGCAGAAGGCATCCAATAGATGTTTCTCTCTCTCCCTCTCACTTCCTTTCTCTCTAAAATCAATTTTTAAAAAAATATTTTTTAAAAATAAAAAGAGTCACTTCTATGAAATCTCACCTGACCTCCTTCCTTGTTCTTTCACTGACCTTGTTCAGTTTTCTAGGATTGTACTCATCACACTCTAGTACAGAGACTAGATTAAACATTTACTTTTGGGCCTAGAACAAGAGCTCCTGGAAGAGAAGAGCTATGTGTTTTTCATCTTTGTACGCACCAGTTCCTTAAACAAACCTGGAATAGACAGTTTTTAAACAAACAGTATGACTTAGCAAGATTATGCAGTGAGAAGGAATTAGAGCTCATAAGGAACAGAGTGCTTTTTTCAGTGTCTTATAAATGATACGAAACAATGAAGCTTTAAAGAACTGAAGAGTTGTGATTTGAAGTGAATGTCCTAAGTTATTTTTATTCCTATTATTTACAAATTTAAGTCAGATGCCACCCAAATAAAAACGGTCTTTGGCTCTGCTTATTCAGAAGGAAAAAAAAAAAGTAAAGTGGAGACTTGCTGATTATTCATTTAATTAAAAAAACAAACAATTATCTAAATTGGTGATTCAAACCACAAGAGCATATTTACTTGAATTACTTGGTTTGGCTGTTTACAAAGATCAAATCAACTAGATTGCTCCCCACTCCTTTTCACCTCAGCCCATGAGTCCTCCAAGGTATTCCTCACCACCTCTGAGATGTGGTTAACAATTGAACAAAAATTCCTGTGCTTCTCTTTGTGCATACAATAAACCTTACGCTGCTGAAAACATAAAGTACTAAGTTCTGGCTCCTTCAGTAAAGATTGCATGTACGTTAGTTTATATTCATATGTCTATCCATTCATCTTTATCCATTAATTTAATCAATGAGCCTTTTAGGCACAGGCTACTAGGTACTAATGATAACACTGTGGGAAGAGACATAATCCCGGCCTTTGTGAAACTCAGAGTCCAGCAGAGACACTAATAATAGGGTGATAGACGAATGGGGAGCTACAGGAACCCTATTGAGCATACCTGGCCTCCTCTAGGATTTATTTTAGGGGATTTGAGCCACAGTTTCTACTGATGCAATTTTATAACTGAAAGAAATAATGGGTCACAAGGCTTTGCCACTATTTATCATATTTACTTGAGTGTTGGCCTTATTTACTGTTTGTCTTATCTGTTCAATCAACTTACCCTGTCCTTGGGAACAGCCCGAACAGGTTCTGATGGACACGCAGCCAGTGAGATCAAAATTAACAAAAGTTGTGTTAGATACCATCAGTTCCCATCTTTTGGGAGTTTTGATCCCTGCTGACATACACAAGCTTCCCTATGATTCACAAGGGGGAAAAGAAGGTAAGAAAAAAGAAGAGAACTAGTACAATTTGTAATGCACAAATAGAAACAATTAAGAGAATAAAATGACAAGCTACAGACTTGGAGAAAATACTTACAAGTCATATACACGACAAAGGATCACCATAAAATACATTGTATTTTTATGAGAATGATAAATAAAAAATTGTGATGATACCGAATGCTAATGAGGATAAGGAACAACTAAAATTCTCATATATTGCTGGTGGGAGCACAAAATGGCACAGTCACTGTGGCAAATAGTTTGGCAGTTTCTGATCCAGTTAAACATACCCTTATCATACAGCCTAGTAATTCAACTCCTAGGTGTTTACCTTTGAGAAATGAAAATTATGTTCAAGACTGATAAACCTGAGAGGGAAGGTAGGGGAGGGTGGAGGAAGGATGTAGAGATCAACCAAAGGGTTTGTATGCATGTATATAAGCATAACCAATAGATACAGACACAAGGCGGCTGAGGGCATGTGCCAAAGGTTTCACACTATCTGGTTCCTTTTATATGATTGTTGAAAAGACAGAGAATAGATGAGTAATTCCCAGGGGTTGATGTGAGAGGAGGACGTGGCTACAAAGATGGAGCTGGAAGGAGTTTATGGGGTTGATGCAATTGTTCTGCATCTTGATTGTGGTGGAGGTGGTTACACCAGTCTATATATATGTTAAAAACCAGACATTGTACATCAAAAAAAAGTCAGGCACTCGCTGGTTTGGCTCAGTGGATAGAGTGACGGCCCACAGACTGAAGGGTCCCAGGATCAATTCTGGTCAAGGGCAAGTACCTCAGTTGCAGGCTCCAACCCTGGTCGTGTGCAAGAGGCAACCAATCGATATGTCTCTCTCACATTGATGTTTCTCTCTGTGTGTTTCTCCTCCTCCCTTCTACTCTCTCTACAAAGTCAGTGGGAAAAATATCCTGGGGTAAGGATTAACGACAACTACAAAAAAGTCATATACATTTTATATTTAATGTATGTTAATATAAGAATTAAAATTTAAAAACCTAAAAAAAATTGCTTCCAGGATTTAACCACAAAATTTCTTCAGCAAACTCCATCTAATCAAGTTGTTAGTGCTCCACTGTACATTTGAGGATTAGCAGAAATTTTCAGAGACTTCCAACAGGAAAGAGAGATAGAAACAAACAAAAGAAAAACAGTGGAAAAAAGGGCAGTATAGAAATCAGGAGAAAACTTAAAATATCACCATTAATAACCACAGAGAAATAAATAGACTTTATCCATGAAGCAAGAAGAAGCAGCCAAAGAAAAGGCGGTGGGAGTCAGAAAGGAAAAGAGAATGAAAACAGGAGAGCAGAAATAACAAATTCAGTAAGAACAAAATGACAAGATAGCCTAGAAAGTAGAATAAAAATACAGTTGTGAAATCAGCGAAACTTTAGAAGATTAGAAAGCCAATTTAGGAGGTCCAATATCCAAATAATGATAGTTTTCAAAAAAGGAAAATAAAGAGGAGAGAATTATAAAATTCTCAAAGAAATAAGACTGAAAGTTCTCATCCAGTGGCTAACACCATGGATAGGACAAAAAGCCACACAAGGTACATCATATTGAAGTTGCAAAACATCAGGAACAAAGACAAGATCCTAAAAAGATCCAAAAGAGACACTAAAAGGTTACACATAAAAGACCTAGAATTAGCCCAGGAGGTGTGGCAGTGGATTGAGCATCGTCCCATGGCCCAAGGGGTCCCCAGTTGATTCCCGGTCAGGGCACATGCCAGGGTTGCAGCTCAATCCCCAGTAAGGGGCATGCAGGAGGCAGCCAATCAATGTTTCTCCCTCATGAACGTTTCTTCTCTCTCTCCCTCTCTTTTCCTCTATTTAAAAATCAATAAAAACACTTTTTTAAAGAAAGACCTAGAATTAGAGGACCTTAAAACTATTCAACCTCAAAACTAGAAGCTAGAAGATACTGAAACATTGCCTTCAAAATAACAATTCAAAGTGCCTTACCCTGGTATTCTATAAGCAAAAACCTACTAATAAGGAGTTCTCCATTTGTAGCTCAAAACCTTTACCTTCCATAGACCCTTAATTTGTTAAGAAAGTTACTATAGGCTACACTCTAATAAATGAGGAATTAAATCAGAAAGGAGGAAGATGTGGGAGTTAGGAGCAATAATGGGGAGACATGGAGAAACTAGCCAGGATACTGGTCAAGAGAAATACCAGGATGTAGCTGTGAAACTCCTCACCTGCATGCTAGTACAAGTGTGAACACTTGGGACTACCGTTTGGCATTATCCCCTAGAGCTGGAGGGACATCCTCTGAGCCAGCAGTTTACAACTTTGCATATATTCAACAGAAGTGCATGCACATATAGAGACACTGAAGATTGTTCATAACACTTCATCTGTAATGACCCCAAACTGCAAATAATCAAATATCTATCAAGAGCAATATACCGTTTAAAAAAAAAACACACACACAAAACTGTGATACAGTCATAAAGTAGAAAACTGCAGAGCAATTAGAAGAATAAAGTATTATAACATAAAAAATGAATGAATCTTGTAGACATAGTGTCGTGCCAAAGAAGCCAGACACTACAGAGCTACTTTGCTCTATGATTCCATTTATATAACCTTCAAAAACAGATCTGAAACCAATCTATGTCTATAGAAGTCTGAATAATGTCCCTCTTCAGGCAGGGGTCTGGGGGTTGGGTTAAATGAGAGGAGGCATGAGGGGCTTCAGAGGAAGTGGTAATGTTCTATTATTGACAGGGTGCTATGCACATGATTTTTGCTTTTTAAAAATCCATTGAGATCTTTGCTTGTGATTTCTGTACCTATCTCCATTAATATGATATTTCTATAAAACTTTTATTTTATTCAGTGGAACAAAATACTACAGAAAAGTAAAACACTAGATGTGAAGGTAAAGAAAGAAAAGTGTTTGAAGTCCTTGCATTGCTCAGGTAAAGTTTAACAGTGCTGATGTAATTTAGATTTTAAGACAAGCAGGCATGTTAAAAATTTAAATCCAATAATGAACATAATTATACAGAATTAATAACTGTAAAATGAATATATATATATGACACTACTCAATGCAAGACAAATCAAGTTTAAAAAGTGGAGACAAAGAAAGCATTGTGAACTGAAAGCACAAAATGAGATGGTAGAAATAAATGCAAATGTATGGGAGACATCAGTGTGTGGATGGTAATTGAAATCACTAGAGAAAATGAGATTTCTCCCAGGGAGAGCAAGTATATTGAGAAGAGAAGGGCCCCTACAACAGACTTTAGAGAAATAAAAAAATGAAAGGTCTAAATTGAGGAAGACAAATCCACCAGTGAAAATGGGAAGGGATCCCTAGAGAAATAGGAGGAAAAATTAACTAAGCCCATTAGCATCTGTCTGAATAAGATATTTTTAAAAGTAGTATCATCTGCTCAAATTAATTACAATAACAACAAAAAGGCAAGCATCCTACAGATACTTTCAAAAGCAGGGTGAGCATAATATATATCCAAAGCAGAACATTTTTGAAAGTTTGAAAGGGGGTGCTAGTTGGATAAATGCTAGGACAACCAGTTTAAACCAATTACACAACCAAACTAGGATGGATAGTATAGTGATGATAGAGTGCATCACTTTGTCTTGTATATTAAAGCTACCCTCACTGGAAATTATTCTACTCATCTCAATATAAAGGTAATGTTGGGTGTGAGAGTACCAACATATACACTAACTAGAGGCCGATGCACAAAATTCGTGTAAGAGTAGGCCTCCCTTCTCCTGGCTGCTAGCACCGACTTCCCTCTGGCACCCGGAACCCGGGCTTCCCTAGCAGCCCTGGCTTTGTCCGGAAGGACGTCCAGTCTAATTAGCATATTAAGCTTTTATTATTATAGATATGCTAGTTAGAGGCCAAAAATAATAAAATTCTTTCCAATAATAATAAGGCCTTCAGAAACTAGTGTTTGTTTTAGAATATGATTCACTGATAATTGTGTGCCCAATTATATGTGGGTGGAAGGTCTAAGAATAATAGGCCAAATTCTCAGAAAATCTTAATACCTAGAGAAATGGCAGGCACAGAAGTTGGAGGCTAACATCAGTTCCACAACCACAGAGGTCAGGTCTCTCTTTTTTTTTTAAACAACTGACACAGTTTCTTATGTCAATAAAAGGTTCCCAAATAAATCTAAACATTATTGTGTTAAATAAAGACTCAGAGATATGGCTCTTGTTTATTTTTCACCCTAGGCTCCGCAGAGCCTTTAATGTGTTAAAATAGGATGTGAAATTCAGGGGATGAGAGGTGTGATAAACAGCAAACCCTAACTATTATTAACCTAAGAATTTCCTTTTCTTAGACCCTCTCTTGGGGCTAGCCTTCCATGGAAAACGCATCAGGAAATATTGAAATAGGTACTAATGCATGCTCATTGTCCAAGCTATTTTCCACGTGTAACTGAGAAAGTATTTGATCAGAAGTGGGAGGCCATCCAGGTGGTCCCACCTCCACACTACTAGGCATGGATTTTGGGCTTTCACTTGATTTCCTAAAGCCCCTATTTCTTCATCTGTAAATTCAAGAGTTCTAACTAGATTAACATTTCGGTAATATTTAGCTCTAAAATGACATGGTTTTAATATTTGGATGCTTAACCAGGATCTAGATCTCCCTAGAACCGAGTGTTGGACATTTCCCATCCAGGGGCTTTTGTCCTGCACTTACTTGTTAAAAGACTAAGAGGCCCTCAGCTGTAATGCAGTCCCAGTGAATCACATCTCAGGAATATGATTATTTTTATTATCTCATGATAACCATCCTTCTGTCAAAATTTATATCTTAATTTATGTCACTCACCCATTGATTATGATGTCTACTTAGCATCAATTAAGATGTTGTTACATTCATTTACCAGGACAGTTACTCAGCTTGATGGACATTTGGTTTTTAGCATCTCCTCGAAGGTTATTTTGGAAACATTTAAGAGCCTTTGAACTATGGTATATCAGAATCTAAATCTGAGTCCCATCTTCTGTTGGAAACTATGCAGTCTAAAAAAATCATTTCTCAAGGTGGTAATTCTTTCAGAGAAAAGGAAAAACTGGCAGATATTTCCCTCATGGAAAGGATGGTTCAAAAGAGATTTAACTAAGTTAGAGAATTAAACAAGAAAAATGTAGAAACCAAAGGATTTTTTTAATCTTAATATTTATATCTAGAGCTATGAAGTAATTTCAAAGGGAATTACAAAAGTCAATAATTATCATTTAAATTTCAACTGGCCAGAGCATTCAGGAACAAACTAAAGAGAATGCTCTGTCCTTGGTTCTCAGAAGTACCTTAGTTCCCTTCCATCTGCGATTATTATGGCAATGCATATGCAGGTACCTCTTTCAAAACAAGGACTGAGGGGCCCCTCTATAGGTCTGAAGCCTTACTGAGACCAATGGGAACCATGGGCTTCTCTGGAGGAGAAGAGGTACTTCTCTTCTGGGAGGAACTCTTTGCCTCATCTACAGTGTGGGATCCTGGCCTTGCAGTGCCACAGATGTGATCTACAGTCTTTATGTTTATCATGTACAAATCCACAGCTAAAAAAAGAGAGAGAAAGAGAGAGACAACAGGCCAAGATGGAGTCACTTTTGCTTAGCCAAGTCACCAAACCAAAGCTAATAATGAACCTAACTGCAGTTTCAGCCTCTCTCAGCAATGGAATGTTAAACCAATCAGTCTGAAGTTTCCTGAGCATCACTGGTGGGGCAAAATCTGCTGGGTAAAACCACTGCCCTTCCCTCCGCCAAAGATGACCTGGTTTAAAAATAATCCTTTATTTTCCTTTGCTAAGATCTCCCCTGTGTGTGTTGGGAGGGAGGCGGGGTTGATTGAGCAAACGAAAAAGAGAGAAGAGCCCTAACCGGTTTGGCTCAGTGGATAGAGCGTTGACCTGCAGACTGAAAGGTCCCAGGTTCAATTCTGGTCAAGGGCATGTACCTTGGTTGTGGGCACATCCCCAATAGGAGGTGTGTAGGAGGCAGCTGATAGATGTTTCTAACTCTCTATCCCTTTCCCTTTCTCTCTACAAAAAAATCAATAAAAATATATTTTGAGAGAGAGAGAGAGGGGCGCACAAGCGCACGCTCATGGACAGGTATAAAGTGAATAAATAGAGATGGGGAAAAAATAAAAGTGGAGGGAGGTGGGGGAGAACTCCCCTGCCACACCCTTTTGCCTCTAAAAACCTTGTGTTTTGTACAACCACTCAGAGCTTTCTTTAGGTAGGACACTTCCCTGTTCATGAATCGCTTAATAAAGCCAATTAGATCTTCAAATTTACTTTGTTGAATTTTGTTCTTTAACACCACACTTAAGGAAGTATTAGGGAGTCACATAAGAGGTAGTACGCTATAGTAAACAATGTAAATTTATATTACCTATTTTTGGGGAGGGCACCCTAAATAGAGTAATAAGGACCCTATGAACAAAATGTTGCTGTAGAAACTTGGCAAACCACGATGCAGAGAGACAATATGGAATCATGCTATTCTATAATTATTGTGAGATTAGAATAAACTAACTTAAAATTATTAGATGTATTATTTAATTGGTATGGATAATAATGCTACATTGCAACCAAATAAAAATTCTGCAAGCTACTCATGATTTTTATGACTTATATTAACTTATAACATTGAATCCTTGGATATATTTGAATTTTATTATAAATACTACCACTGTTACAAATAAAAAGCTCCTCTAACTTTTACCAGTTAAATATTAAGATTCACTGAAGAATGCTATTAAAATTACATATCCTGGGTCACCAGGGAGCCCATCACATAGGATGCTGTTGATGGACAACCTAAAACAACCACACGTAGGTACTTACCTGGTGAGCAAAATGACCAAGGAATAAGCTGTCAGTAACTAAAGTATTTGCATCACTTTCCAAGATATCAATTCCAAAATCTCTGCATGAATAAACTCGGAAGTTTTTCAGGTGAAGATTGCTAGTTCTGAAAATCTGTTAAAAAAAAATCAGCGTATGTTATGGCAAAGTTCTCAGGCTTGGCTTTGCTTGCAGACTTCTGGTAACTTATTAATTAAGTATAAGTAACCATGCTTTCGCCCATTGATATCTGCACAGACATCCCAAAGTTGCCGTAAGGTCAGCACTAACTAGTCCTCTTTAGTAACACCCACTCTATACTTTTCATTTCTCCTCATAATAATTGACACATTAAAAAGGTCAATGTGAATTCTTCACATTTCTAAAATAAACTTGCCATCTCCAAATTACACAAAATTAGTGGAGAAAAATATAGCATCCAAGAACCCCAGTATTTAACATTTTCTTCAGTAGTATTTATTAACTAATATTGTCAGAAAATTGTAAATGTGAAATAAGTAATTGAACATGACTACAGACTCAAAATACATTCTGTGAACATATATTTATGACAGGTTATGTTGGCAGGCCCAAACTGGGATCAAGTATTAACAAAATTAGATTAATAAAGTTGAAAGAATCCCAGTAATTTGTGGTACAGAACCTTTCATTTTCACCTAGCACTGCTATTAACAAACTAGGTGACCTTGGAAAAGACATCTAACTTCTCCTTAGGCCTCATTCAACCATCTTTAAACCAGGGTGGAGATCAGGACTAACAATTAACCTAACAGAATCATTCCTTATTCATTAAATAGGGTCATGGTTGCCTTTATATCTTAAAGTGGAAGTTTCCTATTAATTAAGGCCAAGGTAGCCTTGATTTATCATAGTATTGTGCTTTATGCTAGAATTTTCAAGAATTAAATAGCTTGCATTTCTCATTTTGAATGCACCAATAACTTTTATAAAATGACAGATTTTTGAAGATACAAAGCTTTACTTAAGTAAAATAGGTATGATCTTGTCACAATTGTTACCCAATTACAGGTACCTCAAGTTCTGGCAAATAACTCATATTTAAAAACAGCTAACATCTGGCATTAACTGGAGAACCTGGTAATTACTAAAAGAAATCAACACCCAATAGCAAAAAAAATCCCTATTTATAGTATAAATACAGCTTTCATAATGTGTTCTCATCTCGCTCTCCCTCCTCTAAAAGAATCACTCTGCATTTATGATACATGATGAGGAGAGGGTATTTTTCTCAATTTTTATTAACATACATACAGAAGGGTCAGATTGCCTAAGTTGGGATCCAGCAATTCGTAGCTGTTGACATGAGCACATATTTTACCCCCAACCCAGAGAGTTTTCTTATCTACAAAAGGAGGATAATAATAATGTTTCCCTCAAAGGTTAAAGATGATTAACTGAGAAAATATACAAAAATATTAGCTATCAAGATCATCAAATAGATATAAATTTATATTTACTCACAGTAGAAGTTTTACCTGTTGGAATATTCTGTTTAAGTATCTATAGATAGATAGATAGATAGATAGATAGATAGATAGATAGATAGATGACACTTATGTCTAATGACCAGAATACAGTCTGACAATAATGAAAACTATCTAATAAAGTTTAAGAAATTTTAAAACAATGTGCTTCTTATGATGCAAAAGGCACTTCTAAATGTTACCATTTCCAGAGTCATCATTATTATCAACATCGCTCTATCACCACCCAACACTGTTTATTAACAACAGCTATTATTATACACCTAGCAAGACTGGGGCACTTTTCTAGGCACTTTATATGCAGGCACTTATCTAACTCACAAAACAACCTTATCATTTAGGTTCTATAACTATTTCCATTTTACAAATGAGAAAGAAACAGGGAATTTGCCTAAGGTCACACGGATAGGAAGAGGGACATTTGAGTTTACATGGCTATGTACAGAAGAGGTTGTTGTTGTTTCTTTCTTTTTTAACAGCTTTATTAATATACACACACCATACAATTCACCTATTAAAAGTTTACAATTAAAAGGTTTTAGTTCATTCACAGATATGTGCAACTATCACCAGACTCAATTTCAGAACATTTTCACTTCAAGAAGAAACACCATATCCTTTAGCCCTAAGCAACCATTAATCCTCTTTCTGTCTCTATAGATTTCTCTCTTCTGGTCTTTCATATGAGTGGAATCACATAGTATGTGGGCTTTGTCACTGGCTTCTTTCCTCACATAATGTTTTCAAGGTTCATCCATGTTGCAGTATAGTACTTGATTCATTTTATGGCTGATATTATTTCACTGTCTTAAGGTACCACACTATATTTGTCCATTTGTCCACCTTTTGGCTATTATGAATAACACTGCTATAAACATCGTAGGGAGGGACAAGGATGTAATAGCAAGGAACTGTGGATGTGGACCAGCATCATGGTGGAGGCAACTAGAAAGGGCTTCAGCCCAATTTTTTTTGAATGGCCCAATGGGAGACAGTAAGACTTAGGCAATGTATGAGGAAACAGGTGACCCCATAGTACTCAGCCACTGATGAACCAGAGGAGGGACTGGATAAATGGGCTGTGTTAATTGTCCTAGGTGTGCCTGTACAACTGGATAGACACCTGCTCTTGAGAATGTATAAGTCCCGTTTTCGCCGTACTTCTGTCTCTGAGTCTGTTATTTGAATTTAAACAAGTGAGCATTTCTCACAGTTCCAATTTCTCAAAATCTTTGCCAACACTTACCACTTATATTCTAGCCATCAGGGTATGAAGTGGTCGTATCTCACTGTGGCTTTGCATCTCTAATAACTGATTATGTTGGACATATTTTCATATGCATATTGGCCATTTGTGAATCGCTGGGGAAATGTCTTCGCTCATTTTTTAATTGGGTTATTTATATTTTTATCATAAGAGTTCTCTATTTATTCTAGATATAAGCCCTTTTCATATGTGACTTGCAGATATTGTTTCCCATTCCATTGGCTGTATTTTCACTTCTTAATGGGGTTCTTTGAAACAAATATTTTTAATTTTGATAATGTTAAACTTATCTAATTTTCTTTTGTTCCTTATTCTTTTGGTGTCATATCCAAGGATCTGTTGCTTAATCCAAGATCATAAAGATTTACTCCTTTGTTTTCTTCTATCAGTTTTATAATTTTTTTTGCTCTAACGTTTAGGTTTTTGGAGCATTTTGATTTGTTTTCTTCTATCAGTTTTATAATTTTTTTTTGGCTCTAACGTTTAGGTTTTTGTTAATTTTTGTTAATAGTATGAGGAAAAGATACAGTTTCAATCCTTTGCATGTGTCTATTTGTTCCAGCGCCATTTGTTGAAAAGATTATTATTTCCTCCATTGATTGGTCTTGGCATCCTTGTCAGAAATCAGTTGACCATAGTATGGCTTATTTCTGGACTTAATTCTATTCTATTGAACTATATTTCTATCTTTGTGCCACTACCACACTATCTAAATGTACTATTGCTTTATAGTATGTTTTGAAAAAAGAAAATGTAAGTCCACCTTATTTTTTTCAGATTGTTGTGAGGGAAGTTACTTTAATTACTTTCCTTTTAATTACTTTCCTTTACTTTACTCATAAAAGTGAAGTTCCAAAAGCATTCTTATTATCTGGACTTTTAGTGCACAAGAGTTTAATCTTTAAGGATAGACATTTTTTCATGAATTCAGCACTCTGGTTACAGAACTTGAGAAAACTGATTTTAATGATTTCCCTTTAATATTTTTGTTTCATTAGGTTATTTCATCTAGAACAAGGTTATTCAAGATCCTGGAGGTAGAATTTAAGCTTCTGCAAGGCATGATTGCTTCTCTGCATAAGAAGGCACTCAACAAACGTTTCTACTAGATCAGTGATGGCGAACCTATGACACGCTTGTCAGAGGTGACACGCTAACTCATTTTTTTGGTTGATTTTTCTTGTTAAATGGCATTTAAATATATAAAATGAATATCAAAATTATAAATCTTTACTTTACTATGGTTGTAAATATCAAAAAATTTCTATATGTGACACGGCACCAGAGTTAAGTTAGGGTTTTTCAAAATGCTGATACGCCGAGCTCAAAAGGTTCGCCATCACTGCCCTAGATTCTCACCCCTACATTTATAGTGCTTATGGAAAAAATGAACACTATAAAATTAAATGAGAATACTAAGTATAATTGGCAATCCCTGGGTTAACTACCCTAATTATATGTTTTGGGGTTTTCCCCATTCAAAATTATCTTCCTCTTGTTGGATATATAAAGTAAATATCTAACGTTTTTATTGTGACTTAATTTTACATTTTTATTCTGTTTCCTGGGTACCCTGTAAACATATTTCTTCATTTATGTAAGTAGCCTAGGCTTCAGATTTCTAAGTGGCAGAGACCAAGCGTATGTAATGTTCTCAGTGTGGCACCAAATAGTGACGCTGGGTAATTTTTATATGTTAGTGATAACAATGAACAAGCTAAGCTTACCTGTAAGAAATCACTGTGATAATGAAAGATAAATGACTGAATGTGAACTTTTCTCCCTTTTGAACAAAATAGAAGAAAATGTGACTCACTGATAAAACTAAGCAAAGCACTCTGAACTGGAATTTTTGTGTTCCAATGATAAATAAATTATAAAGTTTTTATCTAACAGCTCTCAGCAGTCCTAGGATCTTCTTCTTATGATTGAAACATGTATATGCCAAGATATTAGGGTAGCAAATGCACATTTGGAATCTGGATTCTGTACCTGGTTGTGCCACTAACTGTGTGACCATCAGCAAATTCATTTGCTTTCTGAGCTTTAATTTTTTTATATCTAAATAGGCATGGTAAGGGAGAAATAGATGACTTTGATGATCCCTCCTGGTGGTAAATCTCGATAGTAATTCTTTTGTTCTCTATTACAGCTGCTTAAAAGTCTCCATAAAGGAAGTCAACTAACCCTGGCTTAGTAACTAGTAACTTGTTCATTCAACAACTATTCCACGTACATCTATAATGCTCTTGGTTCCTTAAAACTATGATGATATTACAATGCTTCCCTCAGCAGCAACTCATATATATAGCAATCTATATATATAAAGGACTAAGAGACTGTCCAACTCAGTGTACATATGATGTGCACTGACCAACAGGAGGCAGACACTCAATGCAGGAGCTGCCGAGCTGCGATGACTTGTCAGCGGCAGTTCTCTGGTGACACACCCTGGAACCAGAGAGGAGGGAACCCGATTCCTCGTGGGGCGGCACTATTCCACTTTCAGCCATGGGTGCATGAATCAGTGCACTGGGCTACTAGTGTGTAATAAATCAAAATGAGAAAACAATTTTCATAAAAAATTAAAAAACTAAAGAAACTTACCTGCACGCCACCTGCACTTCCCCAAACCCTGAAGTTTTGGAACAGGGTGGGGCCAGTGTCATTGTCCCAAGGTGGCTGAAACTTAGGGTAGACAAAGAGTCCATATCTAGAAAGTGAAACAAAGAGTGAAATTTAGTCAGTTTCTGTGTTTCAAACACCCTACTTTTTTCTCATTGGAAAATATCAAAGTAAAAGTAATGAATAAATTCTCCCCCTTGCTAGGAAAGTGGATACTCTCCAACTTTTGTTCTTTTCCCAGAAGTGCCTTACCATTTTAGGGTTCTGTGTACTTTCTTCCCTCAGATCCCAGAACTGATGAGAGCTGCTAGATAGAAACTTCATAATCTTAATGATAATTTCATAACACGTGTACTAATCCTTGCCTCGGCTTCAACATGGTGTAACAATTGTTCTTAATCCTTCTCATTTTTCATTATAGCACTATTCCTATCCTATTATCATAAGTATTTATAGCTTTCAACTATTGAATCCCTACTGTATTCCAGGTGTTCTCTTAGGTGCATTGCATAAGCTCTAATGGGCACATCCAACCTCCAATGTAGATATGTTTCCATTTTACAAATAAGGGATCATACTCTAAAAAATAAATAAATAAATAAATAAATAAGCAATTCAATAGGAGTAAAGTCAGGATTTGAATCAGGGTCTGGCTGACTGAAGTTCGTATTTTTCCCTCGATTCTCAAATTCCCTACTCTACCTTGTTTCTCATGCCCTTGACCTTAGTGGATGACATTACCCTCTACATAACAAAGGCTTTGGACAGCTCCTTCTCATCTCACAGTGTGCCGGTAACAAGTGAAGAGCCTCTTCTCCAAGAGCCTCTTCCCACCCAGTTCCTGAGCCCAGGCACTCGAGCCTCCCAGGGACTCTGTTACCAGTTGCTTCTTATCTCTTGGAAGTTTAATTACTCTCTCTATTGAATTCTCCTCTGGCCACAAAAGGTACATCTTGTCTTGCTGCCCTCTTAAGTGACTTCCTTCTCCATTTTCCTCCCTTCACCACCAAACTTGTATGATTCAAAATGGTCTGCAGCTGCATCCTCAAATCGCATATGAATGTTAAGTTATTCCCTCTCAGGAGTTTTGTACAAAAAGAAAACCAAACAACTAAACCATAAGCCTTATACCCAATATGTAGATTAATTTCCCTAAAGTTACCTTGTACAAGAATGTGCAATATTCCCCGTGAAGGAGAGAAGTGGAGCTTGTGATGTTTGGTTGGTCATAAGATGGAAAAAGTAGCCAAAACCAGCAGCACACACTGTGTTTCCCTAGGGAAATTAAGGATAATTAAATAATAGTTACTACACATACAACAAAGTTAGTGGAAATAAAGTCTCATATACCTGCTGATCCTGATTTTTCTTTCACTTCCTGCTAAGGTATGTTGACATTTTATGAACTCAATTACTCTTTACTCACCCATTCCCCACACTCCCCCAGGAAACAAAAATGTTCTCATTCCTCTTCTTCCAGGCAGCTCAATTAGACTGTAATTTGCCCACCTCAATAACTGGACTCTTAGGTTAAAGTGGAAACGTCCAGTGAGAAATTTAATTACATAATCTAATCCAAGCTCTTTGGTGTATACAAGCATATACATGTTCCACCAGGAACACCAACACATGTGGGTGCACACACGCTCACACACGATGCACACAGAACCAAGCAAAGTCAATATGGAAGAAAAAAAATGAAATAAATTGTTTTAAAACCACTAGTTCTCAACTCCTGCCTCGTGCAAGAGGTTGAACCAGTACCCCAATGCTCCAAACCCTGGAGGTTGCCAGTCTCTGGGGAAGTGTGAGTAAGGGCCAGCACTAAGACTGGAAGCCTGGCCAGCAGGCACCAGCCAGGACCTGCTGGGGCAGCCAGCACTTCCTGACATAATCAACAGTGCTGTTTCCTTAGCTTTAGCTGTTTTTCACCGTGGGTCCCAAGGCTTTCTCACCCTGATATTTGTAGTTAGCCGGACACTCCTCATTTTCCACTCAGTTATAGAACTATTTTCTTCCTCTGTGGACAAGGGACTCATTTCCTTCTGGATTCTGAACATTTCCCCAATTTTCTGAGGCCATTTTAAATTTTAAACACATGTTTCATCTACCACATTGTATTCAGCAAAAGTGACTTTTGGGTACCATTGAATGTGAAGGTGAATTACTATTGAAGATGCTAATGTGACTTCAAGGAACCAGGGCCATTGCTAAGACTCCACTTATCTTGAGGTGGAACAGTCTAGAGTGGTGGCTGTCAATTGGATGATTTTATTCCTCAGGGAGCATTTGGAAGCCTCTAAGGACATTTTTGGTGGTCACAACTCAGGTAGAGGGAAGCTATTGGTGTTCAGTGAGTTGTGACCAGGGCAGCCTCTCACAACAAAGAATTACATGACCAAAAATGGTGCAACTGCCACAGTGGAGAAACCCCGATCTACAGTCTAGACTGGAAGTATGTACTCTCAAAATAAGTCACACCTACTTTCTAGTATCCCATCTCTAAATTTTGATGTAAATACCAACCTAAATATAAAATCATGGTTAATTACAATAAGAATGCTTTGGCAATCTTTACCAGGAGGATATTAATATCTTTTCTTTTTAAAAATATATCTTTATTGTTGAAAGTATTACATATGTCCCCCTTTTTCCTCACTGACCCCCTCAACCTCACTCCCACCCCCACCCCCAGGCCTTCACCACACTTTTGTCTGCGTCCATGGTTATGCTAGTACATATATCCATATAAATTCTTTGGTTAATCTCTTCCTGCCCCCCTCCCACCCCCATTCCTTCTAAGATTCGTCAGTCTGTTCTATGCTTCTATTTTTCTGGATCTATCTTGTTCATCAGTTTATTTTGTTCATTAAACTCCACATATGAGTGAGATCATGTAATACTTGTCTTTCTCTGACTTATTTTGCTTAGCATAAAGACCCCACAGAAAGAGACACTAAAAAAACAATCCCATTGCAACAAAAATATAGGATATTAATATCCTTTCAAATAACCAAATCCAGCATTAGGCATTCTTTTTATCTCAATTCTTCCCTCATGCTAGAAAAGAGGACACACAGTTATGATTCTTGGCTTCTGGAAGACTTGCTGTAACTAGGTTGGCAAATACAAGTGCCCAATATATCTCTCAAGCCCTCATAGGTACATAAGGAAGTAACATAGCTGTTGATTTTCAGTTATGATTATACAACTGGCAACTTCCTCATGAAATTACAAACAAAGCTCCACCCTCCACATAGCCAGTGTCAAGTGACTGTGTCTCTGCCATACCTATGAGCCATGGGAAAGGCCTGAGTACATAAAAATTGAGGAATAGGAAATGGGGGCTTCTTAAACACCACCTTCTGTATTTCAACAATGAGACAGGTGCGCTAGAGGCTGCAAGTAATGATCTCCCTTCGCCTGAGTACATAAAAATTGAGGAATAGGAAATGGCTTCTTAAACACCACCTTCTGTAAGTATTTCAACAATGAGACAGGTGTGCTAGAGGCTGCAAGTAATGATCTTCCTTCAACATACACCTCTATCTCATTACCAGTGAAATGCTAGTTCATGGCTCAGACTTACCCAGAAGGGGCCAGATTCAAACATTTAAAGAATCTTTTGCAAGGGCTACATCCTTATTCATCACCTTTGCCAGGCAAGTGCACACAGAGCACATATTTTGAACAAATAAATATATTTGTTGCATCATCTGCCCTAGTGTCATTAGTATTTAAGCAGCATCTGGGTGATCAAAGGTAATGCTTTCCAATTGCATTCATAGAAGGGCAGGATATTCCAACTTCAGTCTTCTGTGAGCCGAGAAAGAGCAGTTTTCTTATAAAAGAAGCACTTGAACAGTCGGATCACATTGCTTCCCAGCCCTTTTCACTCTCCATTGCAATTGGGTATGCTACAAATGATTCATGAGGAAATCCACATATTTATGCAGGCAGCCGGTGGCTTGTGGGGAAGGGTTTAAGGCAAGCAGGGAATTTTGTGTGGAAATCAATTTTTTGCGGAAGTCGCTGTATTATGGACATTCAAGCAAGAGAAATTCCAGAGAGAAATTAACTGCTCAAGTAAGCCAGCTCCTTGAGGTGTGTATCTATAGTTACTAGGGGGAAAAAAGTGAGTTAACCCTTCAGGCAGCTCTTAAATATACATTAGCTATTGAGTGGGGAGAGTGGAGAGAACTGAAACTGGGCCTTTAAATACAGAATTCCTTACAAAATTGATTCACAAACCAGAACAAATCCCCCTCAAATTAAATGGGTGTTTCCAAAGGGTTTGTTTTCAGGGTTTTCCTGTGGGATATCCTAAACAAGAGTCTGGTCATAGGAAATTTCCAACATCGCCATAAGCATGGGTACTTGGAACTCTGGAGGTAAGCTGACTCTCTCTAGCCTGAGGTTGACCGCAGAGCTGGAGCCTTGGGGCAGATAGCAAGAAACCCTAGAAGGAGTCAAAGATGCAAATGCTGGAGCTGTCAAGGGAAGGCAGCTGGAAATAGAGTGCTCCAAGAGCCGCAGGTGGGGCATGTGGAACCACCACCAAACCATTTCTAGAAAGCACAAAAAAGGCCCGTCTAAGGAGTGGACAGAGGAATATCACAAGTCCCCCGGAGACTCAGGAATATCACGCTTGAGTCTCACTAGCAAGTAAGCACACAGCTCAGGTTTTGCTTCTCCCTGGACTTGGTGTAGCTGCAGCCTGGCAGGGAAGCAGGGAGACCACTTGTGGCTATGAAAACTAAAAAGGAATATCACACTTGAAATTCCCTTGTACCACACAGGGTTAAAGGGGAGTCAACTGTAAAGATGACTGCTTGAACATCAAGGAAAATTTTGTGTGCTGTGGCTATGTGTTTGTTCCTAGATTCTGGGAATAATATCCAACCACAAACCTATTGCAGAGACTTAAGAATTAACTGTTTGTTCACTGCCTGCCCACGAGGCCAGATATTTCAAAGTCAGACTCGTGTATGTGGGAGAGAGTTCAGGCTTTCAGGGTTGGTTGCCCAGGCATTAGGAATAGGTTCATCTCTTCAAATCTAAACAAGGGCTTTAGTTTAGCTGATAGTATTGTCCCAATGTCAATTTCTTGATTTTGTTATTGATCTATGGTGATGGTCACGGTTACATTATCATTGGGGGGAAACTGGGTGAAGGTCACGCAGGAGTGCCGTGTTGTATTTCTGCACCTTTTTATGAAGATAAGATTATTTCAGAATTGGAAGTTTAAAACAGAGAAACCCTAATTAATGACAGCAATACCTAGCTTTTAAAAAAATATTTTTCCAGACTTTAAGAAAACTGAAAAACAAGACAGGAGGCTGGGAAAATAACTCTAAGCACACATAAGGCTTGACTGCATTCTCTTAAGGGTCAGTGTGACTCTAATCCCCTCACAGAGAGGAACATAAACTCACCACCCATACAACATTTCCTCAGAACAAAGAATGCCCCTTCACTCTCAGAACAACCATGGAAGAAGGTAGTATTGTTATACCACATCTCTTTCTGTTCCACATATCACACAAACACACACACACACACACACACACACACACACACACACACCCCACATTGTGCTGTTATGATAGCCTATTATTACCCTTTGGAATAAAGGTATTTTCTAAAACATATTTTAATGTACTCTCTGTATTTTCCATATAGGGCACACTTAGTAAATACTAACTTACTGTTTGCTCAATAACTACAATGACCTTCATTGGCCCAAAAGGTCAACAGAAGTTCATCACTTTTAGGTGTTGCCATGTATGTCCAGTTATCAACTATGTCCTTGGTAATAGCTCATTCCAGACAACAGAATACAAAAGAGACAGCATAACAGAATACCAGTGGCACAGCTGAGAAATGGAATGGACTGTGCAGCATTTAACACTGAGAAATGAGTCCCACAGGGTTTAAATGTTGCCACAGATTAAACATCTTATTTTTCAGACATCAAAATGATTGCAGGATCTTGGAATCTATTCCTTACTTTCCTGTTTCTTCCCCCCTCACTCTTTGATTATGTAATGATACCTATATTCATTCATTCATTCATTATATTTAATTCATTTGTATTGAGTAACTATTGTGTTTCAAACTTTGTGTTGGAGTATAAAAGCTAATAAGCTAAAGAAAAGAGAACTACAGAATTTTAAGCTCATTGAAGAAAATGTCAGGAATGACTATACTTAATCAATCTACACTGCCAGTTTAAACTGAAACCTCATTCTCAAAATATGTGCATTATACTTATTTAAATTTTGTAAAGTGGACATAAGAGAACGAAAATAAAGGAATGGAAATGAAAGTCATTCAATGGAGAACTAATAACTTGCTTTGCCTAAATTTTTCTATTGCAGACTGAGCATTGTTTCACAGAGTAGACCGCAAACACTCAGGGGACCCATCAGCTTTTTAGATGGCCCTCTAGCTCTCTGCACCTATAGACCTATAGCCAGTTCAGTTCTTCTTGGGGTTGACTAGTGGTCAAAACACCTGTCCAGGAGACTACCTACTACCCAATGAAGCAAAGTTGAATGGACAGAACCCCTGGCATTCGATACATTCCAGCTTATCCAAGAAGATGAGCTGGGAAACCCTGAGCGTCTTCACCTCTAGGTATTTTAATGCAGTCAAGATGCTACTACCCAAGAAAGTATGCAGAAATGTAGTTCTTTAGGCTCCAAAGTTTGCTGCCATAGCTGCGCAACCAGACCTGTAATCACCAACAAGTTAAATGCTGCTCTAATTGCTTTGGGTCTAAAGTTTGGTTTCCTTCAACCCATGCAGTTCTGCATCCTTTCTCACTGGCATATTAGCTGCCCCCATTAGGTACCTAAAATGGTGTGTAAGTGCTGTGCTTGGGAACAAGGGAG